TGCTTCCTTTTCAAGTCTAAAAATGATTGATGAATCTTTCAGGTCATTTATATAAAGAGTGTAGATTTAATACCCTCCCCCCACTCCAAATAAAAAAAAAAAAGTGAAAAAAATAATGAGGACCCTTGTTGATTTTTCAAAGAATCTGGCTTAAAGGGCAGCATTCTTCATATTTTGCTGCCACAGCAGCTGCTTACAGTACAACTGGGGCATGCCACCTAGGCAGTACTGGAGTTATTCCAGGTTCACGGAATTGTAGGCAGTGGAGTACAAAACACAGCACAGGTTTACTCAGGCCAGGATGGGTTTAGACAGTCACATCTGCTCCAGAAAGATAAGTGCAGCAGAAAATTGGCTTCTTTGGCTAACTAGTTTGCCTCATCTGATTCTGTTTGCTCAGGAGGTAATCCCCATAGGATATTTTCAGTTTGKTTTTTTTTTCTCCATCTTGGAGAAAAACTTGAGGAGACACAAGGAGAGGGAGAAAATGGCTCATCAGCCAGTTTGTTAGAAGCTGTAAAAATAAACTGGAGCCATCAATTAAGAACAGGCAGCTTTCACACTTACTGAGAAGTGATTGCTTCACACCCTCACTAGTGGTGCTAAACAGTTATGTGTGCCTAACTAAAGGACATTCAACTCATTGTCACTGCAAGCTTTGTGGGTCAGCAGTGAGCAACTTTCTCAGGGCAAACACTGCTCTGCTGAGTCTTTCTTCCCACCGAAATTYCACCAGGAACTAAAAGCTCTCTGCYACAGAGGTAGACATTRCCATACCTGTGGCAGGAGAAGAAAAGAATGTCAGGACAGCAGACAATCTATCCTGGGTTTGCTTCCATGACATATCTTGTAGTTTTGCGTCAGATATTGAAAATTGTGGTGTTCATTTTTCCTTTAATTCCTTACTTTCTCAATTTTTTTCTCTTTATTTTTGTGTCTCATACATAATTCCATTTTTTTCTTCCATTTGGAGGAGTGTTAAGTTCCTTGTGGAAAGGAATGCAGATCTCATCTATTCCATGGATTCCAGCTTTTCAGAGCCATACTTATTAATAAGTCTATAGCCCTGGTGAGCAGGAGCACCAGGATGATAGAGCATGAGCACAACCTCGCAGATGGTTTGGTTGAAATGAGCTGCCTGGAGCAATCCAAGGCTCTTCTCCTGAAAGTCAGAGTGGCTCCAAATTTGGTTGCTGTTCTCACTTCAGTAAGAATCACATGTTCAAAGACTAATACCTTGGACTTAGTTTAAGTCCAAAAGCCTGATTTCCATCATTCTTGGGAAAATTTCTTAATTTCTGGAGAACACCTATTAGTGAAGAAGTTATCAGCTGTTGTTAAGAATTTAATTGCATGTAGGGAGGGGGATAAATTTTAAAAGTTTGATCTTAATGTTGGTTTTAGATCCTAAATAGCTTCAGGAAATCTGTCTCTGTACATCTGGCAGAAGACGTTAATTYTTTAAACATAAAATTATGTTCAAGTTATTTTGTGAATACAAATATGATGGAAAAATCCTGCTGGGCATCTCTCTAAAAGGCACTTTGTCTGAAGTAGCTATTAYGATTATTATTTTTAACATGGATTTTTCAAAAAAAGAGATTAATCCATCAAATAAATATTTTCCCATTTCCACAGCACTCGGTTTCTACGTGATGTGACCTGATTAAAACAGTTCTTCCTACAGGATCAGCAACRAGCCAAGTGCACCCTTCCAGAACGCCAAATGGATGACTCTGTTACCCCATGATTACTTGTGAATTGGCGACCTTCAGTTGGCGACCTGGTGTCACTGTAAATTAATCATGGCAGCAAAGTGATATTTAGGGAGTGTAATAACCACAAATGACCTTGGTGTAATGCCTCTCTCAGGAGAAAGCCAAGCTTTCATTTTCTGTGATCTCAGATTTGTAACTCTTTTCCCCTGTAAAAGCAGCATCGAAAGGTGATGTGTAAAATGAAACATAAGGCATAATGTCTATTTGGCAATTCAAGGTTTCTAATTCTTTATTCCAAAACAGGATTTGATAAAACCCCAGCAATAATTTCCTTTCCCAATGGTAGCCAACACATGTTGTCTTCTTGCTTACAGTGTTAATGTTTAGGAAAACAGGAGGTGGCTAAATTTCTTTTTTTTTCATATTCTCTTCATACAGCACAGGGGTGCTTATGATGGCTGACACAGTATATATATATATGCATTATGTATTTCTGGCCAGATTTTGCTATGCTCATTCTTGTGAGCTAGTATTTGATATCAGATACTACTCAATCCGATTGAGGAAAACTTTATTTTTTCTTTAATGCTGAAGTAAATGTCCTTGTACATCAGCCAAGAGGTGATTTTGCATTTAAAGCTAGTTATTTTCAATATTGTTTTTAATACTATTTTATAGACAAGCCGTGGCATTTTATGGTGTTTCCCTGATTTRTTACTGTTGCCTCCACCTGATGCATTTTTTGAATTCTGTTACTAAGACTRTGACAATACATTTCCTTTGTGGATGGGTATTAAACAGAAGCTGGGCAGAGGAGCAGAAGCTGGACTTGCTGAAATCGTATCTTCAGGTGATATTTTGAAGGTGTCACTCTACATCCAGTGAAATGTCTGTGTTTAAGATAATTAACAGAGGAGAGCTCTTCTCAATAATTCCAGAACATAAACCTCAGAAGGCATCATGAAAATAACCAGCTTCTCATAAGAAAAATGCTGCAAAAGAAGGGTGAAAAACTGCAAGCATAAAATGTACCTCCCTAATTCCCAACAAACRTGGAAGCTGTGCCAAAACCTGCAGCGCAGGAGCAGAAGAAAGCTGCCAAGTATTTGCCAGATGTGGTACACACACTGGTGCTGGTSATGGAAATCAGGAGAAATGGACAAATATTAAAGGATTTGACTGCTCTTTGGTAGAAAGAGTAGCAGTATCTCTTAGTGATGCGAGCATCCTGATGGGGCTGATGGCATTTAGCTGGGATGCCTGGAAACCCTGCTTAACTACTGGCAGTGCACCGGCCTGGGCTCACATGGCTTAAAGCTCAATAACAAGAAAGGATAAAATAGAGAAAGAGAAACCACACATTTTTATTTCTCTCCTCACACTGTTCCTTTGTGATGAATCCTGTAATAGCCAGACGCTCCTCCTAGCATTTCTTTGTATCCCCAGGGGCTTTCTATGGATCTGGAACTTAGCAACTAAGCAGTGGCTTGTGCTTTCGGACAGATTTCTTCACATGCATCCAAAAGTGGATTCAAGGGGCTAGCAGCATCCCAAACAGCCCCCTGCTCYTATCTGTAAAATGAATTCTTTTGAAGGGTATGTAGTAAGGCTAGGAAAAAATGGTGTGCATTCAGTGTTAAACATCCCCCTGTAAACTGTGYTTCTTATCAAAATGATCAGTCTATTTATGTATCTGTCCATCCATACATCCATGTAAAATGACACTGAGCAGGTACCTAAGCTTTTTCCTATGTCGTCTTATTTTCACAATACATATATTTTATCCCTTTGTCTCATTTTTTCTCATTGTTTGTTTACTTGATTGGTTTGTTATTTTTTATTATTGGCTCATTTTTATATTCTGTTTTCATAYGCATCATCAGGTAAAAGGAAAATAAAGATTCCAGTCCCTGAGTGCCACAAAGTGTCACTTCTCTCAAGATTTAGCTGCCACTGGGCACTCAAACCTCTCCAAAAGCACGAGATACCACTGTGGACCTGAAACCAGACTGCCCCTGGCATGGTCCCTGAGACAATTCCTCCCCCTCTCAGCAGGAATAATCAGATCCTCTCCTCTGTCAGCTGATGAATCCTGGGACCTTTGGAGACACCTGTGCATCTGCTGGCTCCTGCTCTGCCGCAGCCAGGGCCAAGTAAACTTCAAAATTAAAACTCACAGAAAACTCATCACAAACAAGGCCAGATGACCATAGTAATCTCTGAAGTAACATAAGGTCAAATCTTCTACACAAGGTAAGTAGGAGTGTTACATTTATTCTTTGGTGGTTATTTTTCATTTCTTTTCCCCCTAGTAAATAGCCCTAAGGTTTGCCAGCCAATTGCAAGTAGAGTTGAAATTCCAATTTCTGTTTCATCCCAGTATGATATCCCGAGAGTGCAATTGCTTCACAAGCTGTCAGTCCCAACACAGGGATGCTAAATGGACCTAAAGAGCTCTTTGAAATCTCAGTATAAATTATCCTTCTGGAGCCCAACCAATGCACATTTTTTGCCTTTACATGCAGCCATGCTGCGCACATTTACCCTGACTCACACTCTGGCTTTAATGGCACTTTGACAATAAGTAATCTTGGCTACAAGCTGCGTGTGGACAATCACTTGTTCTTCCCATTTCTGCTTCACCCTCATAAACAGTTTTGTTCAATACCCTCAGCTTCATGATTGCTTCAGGCCAGATGGGGATTTGGGCYGAGTGGGGTGGATGGAGAGGGGTCCACCTCACCTCGCCTTGGTGTGGCCATTCCAGCAGTCCTCCTCSACTGACGCTCCGGCTGTCACTCGCTCGTCCTTGCAGATTGTGTAGGGCAATGTTGACCAGAACTTTTTAGAGAGCTTTAGTTTTTCTTTAATGTCTGTTACCTGATTAAGAGACAATGAGAGGGAAAACAGATCAAAAATCTCAGTCACATTAACTGTAATGTTAAACAATACATTGTTGAAATTTGTAATGGTGATGATGGTGAAGGTTAAAAAAGCTAATGGTGCTAAAACTTAATTTCCTGTATTTAAAAACAAGACACTCAGCATTTGAGTTCAGAACACAAAAACAATCAAAGTCACCTTTTTCCACAGGCAAGACATTAATAAAAGCATGTTGCATCTCGCTCTTCCTAGCCTCCATTTGTCTAAGGTTTTCTAAATATACACCTTTTTAAGAATTAATATGCCTCATAGTCTGCTGAATGTGAATTCGTTTAAACAGTGCACATCAGATAAACCCAACAACTTGGTCATGTCTTAGAAAAATATTATATAGACAGCTACAAGTGCAGGTTCTGAAAAAATGGTGCAGTGCTGAGCTGATGTTGAACTGATTTAAGATACGCAGGCTGAATACATTGCAGTACATTTGGATCTCAGTTACAGTGAGAAGTCATGCAGAGGCTATATTCACCTTTGCTTTTATGTGTAGGTAAATATCTGTAGCTGAGTACAGAATCCACATGCAAGAAATGTTGGGGCAGTATTGAAACAGTTTCTTTACCTTATGAATTCCTTGAACAATAATTTAATTTGGCATGAGTCAGGCAGCAAGCAGGGTCAAACTGAATTTCCAGCACCAACTTAATAAATAAATGCTCCTACAAAAATTTTATCAGTTCTTGTTTTGCACATGGTATCCTAGAGTTGAAAAATCTACAACAATAGATAGAAAAAAGAACAAAGGACAGACTACAAAGGATGAATGTTGCCACTGTTGTTCTTATGGAAACAGATGCATTTCACATTATGTTGTAATAGGATTTAGGGGAGCTTGGTGAATAGCTTTTAAAGGAAATCACTAAGCTTTGTTCTTTAAAAAACCAAGAAATAAAAGCTCTCCATTCTTCCGTTCAGCTTTGAGATTGTCTTTTAGGTTGTTGAGGTACAATATTGTACTTGGCTATTTATCTCTTTTATCCTTTTTTTTCTCAGGACATGATAGCTCTCCTCRCAAATGGCCCATGCTGCTTTGCCATGCTTAAACTCTGTGGAATGTCACTTTATAAGCCAGGAGATAGAAACAGCTGAGCATGTTATTTCAGAAGCACTGTTTGAATTTTCATCCACAAGAAATAAGTAGGACAGTATTTTTCTGTATGGGCTTTTGACAGTGCTTCTCGCCATGATAGACACCTTTTAAATSTCCTCCACACCCCTTGCCAAGCCCTAGTTGCTTTGTTTTCACATGAGATACTAGAGGCATTTGCAAGCCTTTAAAGTCTCGCTAGGGGTGCCCTGTCAAGCCAAAAAATAAATTCGAGTTTACAGGCTGTGAGCAAGGCTTTGGCAGAGGTGGAGATGGTCTCAGGATGTTTGCCCTTTCTGATGTCTTTGGTTCATGGGATCAGGGTTTTGGGGAGACAGCAGTTCCTCTTCTTCCTCTTCTGCCCATGCTGATGGTAAAAGACCCCCAAAAGGTCTCCACTGGCAYGGCTTACCAGCACAAGCAACTCAGTTAAACTGCCCTTGTGTGTAAATTCCTGCTGGGACACAGTGAGGATAGAGAAATCCTACAGAAAGTGTAAGGAAGAGAGCTTATAGCAGGGAGGATCCATTCATATAAGCTTGGTAAATATGAAAGCCAAAGGAATAGATTTTCTTATTACTGCTTGTGCCTGGATAACTATTTACACAAGCAATCTGATTGATTTGGTGGTGAGTAATTAGCTTTCAGAGCAATAGCTTCATTGTGGGCTGGAAGTTATGTAAAGCTRTTCAAAACTCAGTTACATTGAGATTGTGCCCAGATTAAAATTTGAGCTGGACTAGCTCTAGGACTTGCTGACTTCTGTTTTGAGCCACAAGTGATTCAACACCTACAGGAAAATGATTTTCCCTCTGGACCTTTCTAAGGGCTGTAATTTGGAGTAGAAGCTTTTCATTTTTATAGAAGCCAACAAAGAAGGGAGAGAGGTTCTCCCAGCTCTCATGCTGCATATGCTCTGCAGATACTCCCTGAAAATCAAAATGAGGACTCCCATTCCCCAGTCACTTCTGAAGATATTAAATGGTGTATGCATACTCTATATTAGATAACAAATCATTAAATTCCCTAACAGATTTTTAAAGAAATTTATGTTAAGGAAATGCACTGGGTAAAGTAAGATGGTCTTACTTTATTCATGATTGTTGGTAAATTACAACTAATTAAATCTCAGAGGCATCCCCCTCAGGTGTTATTCCCATTTTAGAGCTTGGGGGAGAAGAAGATATTTACATGACTCACAAAAGGCAGCAATAGCAAACAAGACTACAKCTTAGGGAAAGGTTAGCATTTGCAGCCTCTCTAGATGCCTTTGATTCAGGTGCATTTTAACATTTTTTTATCTCCTTCAGATATTTCTTTTCACAGCTATCTCCAACCTCACACGTCCGTACTGTGTTATTTCACCACGGAGCTTTATACRACTCAGTCTCTGAAGTCTTGCCCTTTCCTGCTGTCTGACCAAATCTCTGTTAATCCTCAGTTTTTGGCAGTGGAGTTTGCACATCTATCGAACTGGTTCCTTGAACCTCATCCTGAAACTTTCAGGGAGTGCAGTGYGGTGTTTGATGGTTTTGCTAAAGGAATTCTGAACATTCTGGATTGATTCACCTCCTCTTTTAGGGAGTACCCTGATGGCCACRTCTGCAAGATGAATGTTTGGGCAGGCAATGACTTTGAATCACTTTTCATGTAACTTTAAATGCAGAATAGAATTAGGTGAGGTAATGCCTGCCATGACATGTTAAACTTTTGCCTGTAGGTTTCAGAGGCTTCAGTTCTGGGATCTTGTCAAGTACAACCACAGAAATTCTCTTATTAATCCCCATGATTACACATATTCCTCTGTACATTGTTTTGATCACCATCAGCATTTAAAAAATACGTAACAGATGTACAGACCCTTGAAAATGAGATAAAACCCACTAAGGACTCAGTTAATATTGCTTGCTTGTGATTTATGAAGTCAGACTACCGTGTTCCCTAGGGACCTGTGGCCTTGTAAATGATTCCTTGGTATTTCCTATTCTTTGAATCAAAGATTAACTTTCAAGCTTGGTTAGGCTTCTGTGGAAAYATTTAAATAGGAGACATATGCAGTTTTGATATTCTACATATTTCCTTTCCACTTGCTCTAGCAGAGATTTATAGGGATTAAGACAGCTGGATATCTTTGGCTGTAGCAAGCCTGATTTTCCCTAGTTATCTTCCTTACATAGCCCTGATATTATATTGAAATACCCTTTTTTCAGCACTTTGAAGGTAAGAAACTTCTTAATCACAATACTTTCTCATAAGAAAAAAGATGCAGCAAGAACCATGCAAAGAGTTAAATTTTTTATTTATTGGGGGACATATACAAATGGATATTAAACAGCCTTGCCTTGATCTATAATTGCTAACAGAAGAAAGGTGTAATTGTGTAAGTGAGAAAAGTTAAATATTTGCATCATTTGCAAAGAGAACTCATATCCTGAGCTACAGGAACGGTACAATTACATACACTACATCGAGAAATACAGCTCATTGCTTATTTCTGCCACTGACTTCTTACACAACCAAGTCAATAATGTATGCCACGCAATTTGTCAGCAGAACTTGGAAGGGCACATGAGCTCAGTTCCAGGCCTACCAGCATGGGCTCAGTTATGAGGTAAATAAAGCTGACCCAAGTTTTGTCTTCTTTACTCACCTTGCACTCCAAAGTCGTGAAGTGAGCTAAAAGCAAGCCTGTCACTTTAGTAGGAATCAGACCTTAGCAGTCCTTGCTTTATTTCAGGACATCTGAGAATTCAAAGTGAGCTTGGAATATACCATGCAAAAATAAGAGCTGGTGAATAACAATTTTATAAGGCATGCAAGATTGCAGAACAACCCTTGCATGTGAAGCATGCAGACAATTGCCAATGGAATCACTTGGCTAAATATTGATGGAAACAAGCTTCTTTGGCAGTATGATAGAGTGTGCTCAGAAGCAACTGGGGACAAAAAGCAAGGTTTAAATGTGGGGGCCCTAAAATAATTTTTTTAAATTATTTTTCTTTTCCTTTTTGTCCTGCTCTTTCAAGTCCTYCCCTGTCAAGACAATCTCATATTCCTTCCAGACTTATCCTTCCCACCCATATATTTCCTMCTTTCACACATGAAGGACTATCAGAAGGTGCTAAAATCGCATTCAAAGATGGTGGAGTGGAATAGATTCAATGTAATAAATGAAATCAAATATTATGGAGTCTTTATGTTAAGAAGAAATGATTCCCATTAACCTCCCTTTCTTCTTCCTCATGTTTTTGAATTGCATATTTTTTCTTGTTTATCCTGCAATTTGGGAAGATTTTCCTTTTGAAGTACAAGCAGAATATTCAGAGTGCCTTTCTGTCAGCACGTTCTCCTTGTGGACAGAGACACCTCAACGCACAGTCCCATGGAGAATTAACCCTTTATGACCTGGAAAAACGTACAGATGTTTCTGGTTGTTCCCTGGAAGTCGTTTCTCTGGGGTACCAGGGTGCCACCCCAAATGCTGCACTGTGGGTTAGTGGTGGCAGCAATGACACTTGAAGATGTTTCAAGTGGCTTTTGTGACAGTAATTGTGCTGTGATTGCAGGGACTTTGGGCTGTGCATGTAAAGTGTACTCTACCAGCGTGTCACACTGACAGAACAGCTACAGAAAGCGAGTAGAAAGAGGTCTGGCATTTTGTCTCAGAGAACAGACATGAAAGCAGCCATCATGAGCCGTGTTCCTGTCTGTGTAGCTTCTTCAGTCACATCYTCCTTTGCCCTTTAATTCACGAGCAACATTTAACTAATGCCACTTCTTCACGCTACAGTATTTCCCAGTGAAAAAACAGACACTTTGTTTGCCTGCTGCTGCTTTGCCCTAGAMATGT